ATATATACAAACATTAAGCTTCACTACTCTTGTCTCACGTTGGTATAGCCTACAACATGGTGCTGTTTCGCAAATTCTGACTGTAAAACCGACACCACTCGCGTGTTCTTACTGTATTCAACCGACACTAAGATGTCGATAGAATTACGATGAGCAATTTACGGTTGAGATTTATGTGAGTGGATTAGACAATCTGTTTCACTCTCAAATCTACATACTGGTTTTAAATTAAAATATTAGATCTACTTGACATTGTAAGTGGTATCGAACACCCTGTTTAAACCTCGTAGCTTCTATCGATTTTCACTTGAACTGTCTTTTGTTTACAAGCTTCGAGCTGCTCAGTCAGTAGACCCATCCTTAAGACGTAGCTCTCCCTCTCCCTACCTCCATAGAGCCACCCCTCCCCCGAGCTGTTCACCTCTTGTGCATATGATTATTATTTTTTTCTGAACAGTAAACCTCCCTTTCACTTACTGTCAAACTCAGTCAAACAAATTACATCCCTACTAAAACAAAAACCTATTATGTGTCATTTATCTAAGCAGTGTATACCTCCGCCCTAGGGTATTTTTTCCCTGAAAATTTTCCCTCAATGAAATAATTTAACAGAAATATCTTCCAGTAATTACAGATACATTATTTATACCACTATGTAAGTGGTCTATCGAACAGGGTAGTTACGATGATGGTTTACAAAGTTATGTACCGATAACTCTTGTTATTATTTTCATTAGCGTTTACGGCATTTACCTCCCTTGTGCTGCGATGCATCAATTCTAAATTCTCGAATTACAAAATTGGTTGCGGTAAATACTGACGACATACCTAATGGATAATCGTTGAGTTTAGAGAAATTACATAAAACCGCCATGTACTACAAGACCTCAAACAAGGTATTTGGCTTGTTGTGTTTTTCTTCGATATTGTGACGTATATGTGGTTTCGATTCAGAGACTAATCTATCCAATAATTTCAGAGTTGTTGTTTTTTTTTTAATTTAAAAAACGTTATAGCATTTTGTATTGACGTTAAAATTATAGCGATTTGAAAACTATTTATATAGTTTGATAAACTCACAAATGTTATAATTACTAAATTATTTCATCAATAAATTTAGCATTGTTTACAAAGAAAGTGTAAGGAATCAAATGTACACTGATATCTATATATATAAAGTTGACAAACTTATCTTAGATCGCCATGCGGTAAGCGTACATATACTTTATTATTTGACATTTTACTGATGTATTTGATAAGGTTGCTTTTCATTAGAACATCTACATGCATTACGTTAATCAGAATTCAATATTGTATTATTAGATGTATTTGTTAAATGCATATCTATATATATAATTCTCTTCTGGGAGACGTTAGAAAACAAGCTGCAAGCGCGCCTTGCAGTCCCCTCTCTTCCTCTCTATCGCTACCACCCCCCCCCCCCTCACATGGTCTGTTGAGCTGTGGTTCACACTAAAGATTTACATTTTACAATCGTAGAGCCGAGTTTGGTGACGGCTATTAGGGCAGATAATTTAGTTTGAAACGATTTTAAACTTAGAGGAGGTAACTACAAGGAGGCTGCTTTCACGGGGGGGGGGGGTTAGTGTTTTAAAGCAAATATTTTCAGTGGCAGCATTGATACTGTCGAATTCACAAATTATGAATTACTGAAAAGTAGAAAAAACAACAACTAAATAGCGGTGTATGATACACCGCGGGTCGGCTCGTACATTATAATAGGCACATTACAGATCTTTAAGTTAATCTTACATAGGACTTTATCTAAATATTGGAAGATTACCGATCACCAGTGAAGCTTACAGACTAAAGACTATCAGTTAAACCTTTACAGATCTGAGGTAAGCTTACATACAGACAAAAGACTACCAGTTAAACCTTTACAGGTCTGTGGTAAGCTTACACACAAGCGTTACAACGGACGAATGGTAGGTGCGTTTATCGCGTACACTACACATCCCATTAAACCCATGTATGCTGATCACGAAATCTATTTCAGGCAAATCAATAAATGACTCACAATTAATCTTTCCCTCTTTTATCACCCTCCTCTACTCTCTACTGTGTAGGATGCTATCCTTATGGGTATGTCTGCGGAGAGGTGTGTATGTAATTGGTGGGAAATATGTTAGCACTAACAAAGCGTAAAAGCACTAAAAGATGTATCTCTTCCGTTTTCTATTTTCTAATAAATAAAAATGTGTTACATTCCACACACAGATTATATATATACATATATATATATATATATATATATATATATATATATATATATATATATATATATATAATATATTATATTGAGAGAGAGCAAAATAGAGAGAGACGGAGGGAGAGACACAGAGTTATATATACATGTATATATGTATAATTATATATATATATATATATATATATATATATATATATATATATATATATATATATATATATATATATATATATATATATATATATATATATATATATATATATATATATATATTTAATTATATATTATATATATATATATTTTATACAATTGGTCGGTTAAGTTAATTACTATTGTACAATAAACATCCAGTTTGTAAATGTAATGTATTGCGTATCTTTAGACCCAACAGTAGTACTATCTTCGTAGTTATTTTCGACTTATTTCTTGTCTAATGGTGGTCTTTATTGTACCTCGAGAATCGAATTTAATCTGATACATTTCTCTACGTAAGTAGCCCTAGCGACTGTGTAGATTTCAGTGTGCCTTACCCCAGAGCAACGTGTCATTAAAATAACAACACACATAACATGTAGTTAGCTATACGAATGGGTAAGTACTTAAGTTTTTTTATTAAAGGGTTCCGTATCGAAATTAGATTTTAAAACCTAATAATTTATTCTCTCTTTCCGAAAGAGAATAACCGTTTATTATGCGTATTCCCCAATTTTATGAAAATCACAAACCAATTTTAGTTTTGGTAGTGAGTATAAAAATAATGTATATTAAATTATGTTTGTGTAATAGCAGTGCATTTTCTGTATTGTGTTAAGTTGTTATTAAATTAAAAATTATACCTTCAAACTTTTATTACTCACGAGATAGTAATTTATGGAATTTTGCTAAAAGTGCGTGTATCTAACATACAACACAACGCTGTGGTTGCTTTTAAAGTAAACGCTGAACTGTTTAAAAATACTTGTATTTCTCTAATAAAAAAGGAGCTAAATAATTATTTTTAAAACGACTACATTTTGAACTAAAGGCACTGTATCTCAGGAGGCGACCTTTGGACAATGTGCTGTCCATACGTTGTGTACTCACTGAGAATAGTGGACAGTTGGTTTACCCTAACACAATACGACACTGAACTCATCTGATCTGAATGTACAACAAACGCCCTGTTCTTTCAGATTAAAAGCAGGGCGATAACTCAGTCTGCCCCAAATCACCAGCTGTTTGTGGTTTCCGTACCACAGCTCCAGGCTTTACATTATGTTATCACCTAGGGTTAGTAGGTTGATTTTTTTAAAAAAAAGGGATTGGATGAAAAGTTATCATTACCCCAACACGGAAGTAAACAAAAATGTTTATTTAAAAAAATTGTGTGCAAAATATTATAAATGCAAGAAAATACAGAGTGGGAATAACTATATATATATATATATATATATATATATATATATATATATATATATATATATATATATATACATAATTATATTTATAAATACAATCATATACAATTTAAAGTGAAATATACGACTGATATTGAATGTATGTGAGACGTTTAACAATTTAAACTACTTAAACCAATACAAAGCTCGTTAACATTTAGACAGTCTGAGCGAGTATGTCCTTCATGGATGAACGAGTAGCGAAAATTTTAATTTTATTCTTGATCTGTAGGATAGGTAGTTTTAGACGTGTACTGTTTAGACTTTATCTGTTTGATTTTTGACGTTTACCCTGTGATTTTTAACAGTCTGAGTCATGTATAGAATTGCATATATAATCATTCAGCGATCGATGGTTTTCAAGAAAACCACTTGAGCGTCTCGTAATCCTTCTTTTTTATCTTATTCGTTTTCAATTGTAATGTTGCACGGGATTTCCTATACCCCAATTAACTATTACGTGTCAGCCTTTTATAGGCCGTTGAATCCGATTTCAGCCTGCTTTTCTGTTTGGAATTGCTTCCATAGCCTTTGTTCATTCAAGAGGAAACTACAAACGAAATTTTAAATGGAGCCTCCAACCCCAGATTTAAATTTCCATTGTGCATTTTTCCTCTATAAAAGCCTGGCTATCGCTTGTGGGAAATTTAAGCGACAAAGTATTCTTTTTAAAAACCAAAGCACTAAAAGGCCTAGTGGGCATAGTTCCTGGAAACCCACCGGGAATTTTTCCGGGAAGACCGATATTTTTTTTTTACTTTTGGCCCATTGTAAATTTCCCGATAGACCGCGGGGCCATTCCACCCCAGGTACGAACTCGGACTTTTCGGATCAGCTACCATGAGGTGTGCATCCCGAGCAGGCCGACTCTCTGTCTCTTAGTCAAAAACCTAACTATTTTTGAAAATAAAGGACATGTTCAAGTTATTTTTAATTACATAGTTTAAATTGTTACCTTTCTTTTTTTTAGACTGAAACCTCATCAGCAAAAAAAGCTGCACAATCCTCAACTTGTAATTCAAGTCGAATTTTTTATCAACACCCAAGTCAACTTCCATTATGACTTCTAAGTCAGAATTCAAGTAGCATTTAAAGCAAACAATTAACAGTCCAATCATGACCTGAATCAACACCTGATCAATCACTGTCTTTGTAATAATTACCACTTTAATCTATTAGCAAGAGCTGGTCTTTAAAATGTGTTAAAAACTAATCAAATATGAATAATCTACGTATTTAATGCATGACATTTTCTCTGTTAAAAAGTGATTAATGTAGATACACATATGACCGAAGTTTTCTAAAAATAAACTTCTAGATCATCAATAACAATGAACTCAACTCAGCTCGATCGGACAAACATTGCCAATGATCTCGGCCCGCTCTCGACCGATAGCACCAAGCTCCTCAATGTTTTCTTCTACATCGACTACGTCATCATGCCGATCCTCTCCGCTTCCGGCATCATCGGGAACATCCTGACCCTGATCGTTCTCTTCCAGTACGGCTTCAAGGAATCCTTCAACGTTCTGCTGACCTCGCTAGCCATTGCGGACTTGGTCTACTCCTTCACAGTACTTGCCATCAGCATGGACCACTTCGTCACAGACCAGACCAGCAGGGAACTTCTTGAAGCCGTCATCTCCGCCCATCTCTACCCTCTCAACGAAGTCGCCTACAACACCAGTGCGTTCATCATCGCGGCTTTATCCCTTCAAAGAATGATCGTCGTCTGGTTTCCATTCAAAGCCTCGTTTATCTTTACCCCTTTTAGGACTTTAGTTATAGTTATCTCCATAAACCTAGCCATGTTTTTACTCTATTCCCCGCGTTGTTTTCGATGGATTCTCCTACCTGTTGATTCCTCAACCAATAAAAACGACTCTATGTACGTCGTGCAGCACGATATCTACTTCTACGACAATGACTCCGACTACGTTCTCTCCAGTACGATAATCAAGTTCCTCAGCCTCATGGTTATTGCTCCTTCCATCATCTCCGTCTGCTCCTTCATCACCATCGCTAAAATCATCACATCATCCGATATTGTTAAAAAAATGTCAAAAACTTTCTACCGGAAACGGTTAAACGAAACGAAATTAGAAATAATGAACCTCAGTATCTGTTCCTGTATCGTTTTCCTGACTGTCATCCCAACAACCATGAACCCGGAAGTGTTTTACTTCCGAGGTCCCCGGAAAACCCCACCGTTGGCCACTCTACTTCTCTACAACGACCTAGTTCCGTTCCTCATGCAAATCAACGCGTCCATACACTTTCTCATCTACGTGACATACAGTTCCAAGTTCTTGAAGATTTTTCAGAGGACAATAACGTGTGGGATAAATTCTTAGCCTTGACGTAGGTCTATTTTTAGCTTTTAACGCGACACTAGGCTTGTCGACAGAGTGTGCTTGATATTTTGCTATATAAGACGTATGATGGTTGGTAAACTAAACAACCTCACAGGTGTTTCTCAGAATATATACATATACATACATACATATATATATATATATATATATATATATATATATATAGAGAGAGAGAGAGAGAGAGAGAGAGAGAGAGAGAGAGAGAGAGAGAGAGAGAGAGAAAGAGAGAGAGAGAGAGAGAGGAAGTATTGTAATCTTGCAAAAAAACGTTTTACACCCCATTGAGTCGGAAAAACATAGTTTTGCAATTTTGCTCGTATGCCTGTGTGGGTGTATGTGTTTATGTGTGTATGTATGTATGTACGAGAACACGATAACTTGTTTACCGTTAGAGCTAGGTTGGTGGAATTTTACATATAAGTGGCCTATTATATTAAATTTGTAGCTCTTATCTGTAAATGGAACTTATACTACTTGTGGTTTTTTAAAGCCTATAACTTGAGTACGGTCTCATATAGATAAACGAAATTTCACATACAAGTAAAAGGTCTAATTCTCTGCCTTGTGTCAAATTTACACTATGTCCGATTACTCAAAAAAATGCGTATGAATTTATAAAGTACTAGTATTCCGAACCATTATACACATATTGATTGCCATTCAATAAGTGCGCAATTCTTTTTTCTACGAGATTCCATTCGCTTTTAAAAAGTTTAAGTATGTAAAAACTGATTAAAAATCATGTCTATAACCCGAATTCCTTCCTCTAGTGTTATATAAGAATATTGAAAAAGCGTTAACATTACCATGCAAGTTCTGAGTTCAATTTCATTTTAGCGTACATGTCTACGCAGCTCTCAATAATCTCTCTTAACAATTGCAGTGGCGGTAGAGTCAACATTATCACAGCGGTTGAAAACTTGTAGTCTTTTAAGAAAAAATATACCGTTTTAGAATAGATGAAAAGAGAAGGATAACTTCTCAAACTTTACCTGCTATACGACTGTGTGAGTAAGATAATCGAAGAATCAGATACATTTCTGTAACCGCGGAACTGAAGCATGTAATTGCTAGGCACTTATACCAGCGTGCAGCAACTCTCGACAGATACAACCCAACAAGAGAGGTCGATCCAACATGAGTGAGACAGCCGTTGACGTTTAGTGTTCAGACAACAAATCTCAATGATGAATACCTGGATGGGATCCTTGAAATTCAGCAGAGCCAGGTTCAACAGCCAGGTTCAACAGCAAGGTTCAACAGCCAGGTTCAACAGCCAGGTTCAACAGCCAGGTTCAACAGCCAGGTTCAACAGCCAGGTTCAACAGCCAGGTTCAACAGCCAGGTTCAACAGCCAGGTTCAACTATACAGAACAACAACGCTTTTCACGTTTTTAGTGGCTATCGGGGCGGATTAATCTTGGGTTGAAATTTTTCGGGGGCCCTACATATATATATATATATATATATATATATATATATATATATATATATATATATATATATGTATGTATATATATATACTGTGTGTGTGGTTGTGTTTGTGTGTGTATTAGCTAGAAAGTTAATACATGCTTAGCTCTTATGTCACGTGCCTCTCAGTATTTTCTATACCACTGAAAGTTGAGTATCCGCACAAACATATGAAGAATATACGGTCTCTAACCCATCAGGGAAGAAGAAAGAAATGCATCTATATAACACATGCCAGTTAAATAGACTTATTTAAAATAGTTTTTAGAAAGCACTTGTGTAGTCAACAAAAGATAAAATAAATTGAAGAATACCTTTAACCACTCTACTTGGAACAATCATGAAGATTTACAATATATCCCGCAGCTATGCATTGAGAGGGTTTAGACTACCATCAAGTTCCCCTCTAACCAATTCAGTGTTCTTCATAGAGTTCTGACAAGTACGACGACATCAACGTTGGCAAATGATTCGACAGGATGATATTAGTTAACTTCACGATTTATTCCCTCCCCCCTCCCCCAAACGAATGTATATAGTAAATGTATACTTTATAACAGTGTTCGCCCCCCCCCCCCCGGAAATTTTAGCCCCCCCCCCTCCGAAAATTTCAAATGCTTCCCCCACCCCCGGAGAAAAATGTCTGGAAGAAACATTGGTCTGGATCTAATAGAAGGCGCAAGGTTATAATAGACCAGTCACTTTGTATTATGTTGGTATGTGTGATCAGTCTACTTAAAACTTGCATATCCGACAAAGCACGTTGTGTTTTATAAGCGAGGTCAATCAGAAACAGATTTAATATTTTAGGGAGAGCATGCTTAAAATAAAGAGAGAAAAATATCCACTGGTTTGGAGATACAATATTCATTTAGATTTTAAGCAACAAACAAAAAATTGGATAGGAAATTTGTAACGATTGTCGTTAAAAGCAAATTGGTGGCCTCCTGTTCAGTCCATTAATCCGTCACTGTCAATGAGATATATATATATATATATATATATATATATATATATATATATATATATATATATATATATATATATATATATCTAATATATAAAGCTCAATTCTGTAACGCATATGTTTGTCGTTGGCATTTCTACGGATTTAAGTGTTAGATCAATTATCGTGCGCAGTTGTCTAAATTTATGAGTTAAAAAATTACTATTAAAAGTGTTGGGAAATCATTTTCATTTTTCAAATTATAGTAATAATTGTCGGCATGTTCATTAAACACAAGTTTTAAAAAAAATATCATCTTTTACAAAAATTCTAATTATGTCTTTCTTTAGTCCTATAGCGCTTACTTCCCTTTGATAAATAAGGCAAACACAATTACTTCCCTTTATAAAACCATAGCATTAGTTGAAAAGCATTTACTTTTTAATTACTTTGTTTTGGTGTTGGGAAAAAAATAATTACATAATTAGCGGGGATTGATCAAGTGCAAATGTTGTAGGTATTTTACGGATAAGCTTGGAGTATTATAATTGTTCATTAAATTGAAACAGGCGCGTTCGTTTAAGTGAGTGCAAAAACTATGAATAAGTTGGGGTACTATAGTCGTTTATTAAGCTAAAACAGGCGATTCTGCCCCGGGCGTTTATGTTCGCGTTAGTGTTTTCTTTGTATTTAGGTGGGTTTGCGTTAGTGGTTGCGTTTTGATTTGGTTCGTTTTTGTTCTTTCTTTTTTCGTTTTTGTTTGTGTTTTTTTTTGTTTGGGTTTGTATTTGTGTTTTTGGTTGGTTTTGCGTTTGGATTTGGTTTGTTTTCGTTTGCTTTTTCGTTGTTTTTTTTTTGGTATTGGTGTTTGTGGTTGGGTTTGTTGTTAGGTTTTTGTTTTCGTTTGTTTTTTCTTTGTGTTTGTATTGGTGTTTGTGGTTGTGGTTGGGTTTGTTGTTAGGTTTTTGTTTTCGTTTGTATTTCTAATTGTGTTAGCGTTATGTTTGCGTTTTGTTGTTTTGGTTGGTTGTGGTTTGGGTGGGCAATGCCGGGTTTATGATGATTTCTAAACACACAGGTAATGGTCTTTAACGGAAAGGTTTTTCACAGAAGCCAGAGCAGGGCCTGGCCGGGACGGCTAGTATATATATATATTAGTTTTATTTTTGCTTTTTATAATTAAGAAACTAACGTCCAAAGGACCACGAGCAAACATATTCCATGTACAACATTTATCAATCAGGTTTATGTCCATCGTAATGCAAATTTCGGTTATTTACTTATACCACAACATTGCTTATCGAATTATACATTTCACAACCTCACGCTGTAATCACTTAATTACATAAACTCCTTCATTGTTGAATTTTTGTACAGCAGGTCCCAAGTTCCGCGACGTTATGTATACTAAGTTCCCCTTTATTTGAAATATAAGCACACTCTTATCCCTACTGTGACAAAAATGCGCACCATTTTCTCGTTGAAATGTACGTACGTAAGACACCTATTGTGTGTGTGTGTGTAACGTAAGCACAGTTACCCATTGATTGAAAAAAAAATGTAAGAGCTTTAGTGCTTTTATTTAAATCAATGTTGTAAAACGGATTGTAGTCTAATTAAATGACATAATACCGGTACTCGGAGCCTTAATAATTAAACCCCCGGCTTAATCAAAGTCCGCTGTGTACAAAACGCATATGGTCAAAGCTCCTATGGTCAAACAACCTACATTCAAGTCCTGTATATATATATATATATATATATATATATATATATATATATATATATATATATATATATATATATATATATATATATAACTTGTATATTAACTTATATATATTAACTTTCTCAGTCAAACAACCTACAGTCAAGTTCTATGGGTCAAAAGAACTGCGATCAAATTTCAGCGTACCCATAGCGCATGTTCTTCCTATACATATTGTAAAGTGGATTACAGTTTATTTAAAGTATATTACACAGCGCTTGTATTCTAGCTGCGTTATCTTATCATTCTGTGTGTACCTGTCATTGATCAAAGACGACTATGTTCAGGCTTACTACTTTGATGGTCCAGCTCGTTTTGTTTTCAACAGCCGTCTTGTTTGTGATGAAGACAAGAGGTATTTAAACATCATATTACATGTCTATAATTTATTTGCCTAACTTATTTATCTAGACAGGGGGGGACAGCTGTTAAAACTATACTATAGATTATAATAAGGGCAGTTCTTTGTTACTGGGGAGAAAAAGACAGCTGATAAAACTATACTATAGATTATAATTAGGGCAGTTCTTTGTTTTAGGGGAGAAAAAGACATCTGATAAAACTATATTATAGATTATAATTAGGGCAGTTCTTTGTTACTGGGGAGAAAAAGACAGCTGATAAAACTATATTATAGATTATAATTAGGGCAGTTCTATGGTAATCAGACTATTGCAGTAAACGAAACATTGTTCGACCAGCCAGGATATGTAATGACCGATAGCTGTATACAAATCAACACATTTGTATGAAATTTAGGGGTCGGCGTGGTCGAGTCGGTAAAGCTCATGT